AGAGAGAGAGAGAGAGAGAGAGAGAGAGAGAGAGAGAGAGAGAGAGAGAGAGAGAGAGACTTTCTATATCACTTTATAGGTATTTAAGCGAATTCTAACATTCTTCTGCCAATTTGGATTCCATTTGAAGATTAAAAATTAGAGAAGATTAAAAACATCAGAGAAGGAAGTGTTTAAAAAGATGATTAACTAAATTGCATACTTGTTAGTAAAACTCTTGATAATGTTGTGAAACAAACACCGCCTCCAAGGAGTAATTCCTTGAAGAATCACAGATAACAATTATTATTTTTTAAAAAAATGCTATTTGCTTTAATAAGGGTCATAGTTAATCACAGCAATGCACTGACTTCTAAAGAAAATTTAAGTGAGTACAAAACATCATTTCTTTTGAAGAAAAAGTAAGAGTTGCTAGGATGCTGAAGAAATGAATCAGTTCTAAAGGAAGTAGGGCATTGTGATAAGTCTTGTTTTTGAAATTGCTGTTTTTACTAAAAATGACTATATTTTAAAATTAAAAGGTTTTCTAGAGAGAAAAAATTGTAATGGTAAAGATAGGAAACTCACTTGCTCTTTTGTAAGTGAAGATTTGTTTCGCATTGTAAAATGATGATGAGTTTTATTTAAATACTACAAAATATAAGGATGATTTTTATCTATTTCATTAAAAGTTTCATTCAAGTAGCTAATTTTTGAAGAGAAAAGATTTCCATCTGATTCCAAGGAAGATTTTGATATACAAATAAGTAAGTAAGTAAGTAAATAAATTTCTCTGAAGAGATTGAACTGCAATCAATGTGATATGAAATCCAGTATACCATTCTTTAAATGTGGTGCTTACTTTTCAGATAGTAAGAAGAAAATGTAAGTGGTTTTTTTTTTTGGTTACATATAAGAATACCAACATTTTGGAAGCTTGATTTTCAAATGCCATACATTCAATTTTATATTATCTGATTAAGTTACCATATCTCATTGCACAGAATTCCTATTTTGTATGTGAATAATACTGAAAAAAAGTTGTTAGCTTAGAGTATGGCAACTGTTTATATCTGAGCCTTTGAAAGTGTGAGTGGGATATTTGTAATGTAGAATCTTGCAAGGGGATGGAAGGATATTGCTAAAAGTGTATTCCTCATCTTTCATGTCCTTGTAACTTTTTTTTTGTAGGATTAAACAAGTGGGATGACCAACCACACTTCCGTGAGATATTTTGTTCTCATGGGATTTTCAGATGACTGGAATTTGCAAATTTTACATGCTGTGGTATTTCTCTTTGTTTACTTAATCACTTTAATGGGGAATTGTTTCATTATAATGGCAGTAGCATTTGATCATCATCTCCACAGTCCAATGTATTTCTTTTTGGCAAACCTTTCCTTGGTAGATATTTGTTCTATCTGTACCACAGTTCCCAAATCGATAGTTATATCTCTGACAAACAACAAAGAAATTTCTTTTGGTGGATGTGTCACACAGGTCTTTTTCATGGTTACATTTGTTGGCAGTGAGCTGACTTTGTTAACTACTATGGCTTATGATCGTTACGTGGCCATCTGTAACCCTCTGCAGTATAAGATAATCATGAACTGGAATGCCTGCATTCAAATGGCAGTTGCCAACTGGATTTGCAACCTGATCCATGCAGTGCTGGAAACAGGGATCACCTTTAGATTAAATTTCTGTGACTCTAATATGATTGGCCAATATTTCTGTGACATTCCTCAGTTACAAAAGATTTCTTGCACTGATATAGAAGTCAATCAAATTCTGATACTTGTACTTGGGTTCTTTTTTGACTCTTTTTGTTTTGCACTCATCTTTGCTTCTTATGGTTACATCTTCTCCACCATAATTAAAATGCCATTGGTCCAAAGCCGACATAAAGTTTTTTCAACTTGCACTCCTCACCTGACTGTTTTTTCTGTATTCATAGTCACAGCTGTGTTTTCATACATGAGGCCGAAATCACTTTCGTCTTCTACAGTGGATTTGCTTTCTGCTATTTTTTATACCATTTTGCCACCAATTTTGAATCCCATTATTTATAGCCTCAGAAATAAAGACATCCAAAATGCTGTTTTGAAACTACTGCAAAATGTCATATACTGTATGAATTGTTGGCAAAGTATCAATTTTTTATAAAGATTAAACATATCCTCTGGATTATCTTGCCCTGCAATCCAAGTGGCTCCCTTCCTTATTATCTCCTGGAAGACCTTAATCATCTGACAATTTTTCCAGCTTTGTAGTAGAGTGAATATAGAGCTCTTATTAGAAATATTTTGTATATGACATGGAAGGTTTTTTTGTCTGATAATGCACTTTTGTTTTTCTTCACTGATTTATTGTTCTTTTGTAATGTAAGCCATTCTGAGTCGTTTTGGAATTGGGTAGATTTAAATATTTCAAATAAATGTGGTAGGACTTAATGAATCAAGTATTATTTGCATTAATAGATTTCATATCAAGATAAAAAGGATTTAATTATGTAGAACTCTTTTTCCAAGTTAAATATAATTATTGGTCACTATTTTAAATAGTGTCTTTTAAGAAAATTATTCTAGATGAATTACATGACAAAAATTCTCTTTTTTCTGTCAATTTTCTTCTCATTTACTACTTTCTTAGATTTAAATGCTGAAGGCCAGATCAAGTTAATTGTTTTGTTTGCCCATTGATAAATTTTGTTTCTGAATATAATTCTAGGCAATAATATGATTTTGGTACATTTAGTCTGAATAGCTTGCAACTCATAAATATATTTTTAAAGAAAAGTTTTTGACACATTTGAAAGTTCTTTTTTTATTTTAATCAAATTAAACATAACACAATATTTTGGATTTTTTTTCCAATAAAAAAGCACTTGCAACCACATACATTGACCAAATGTTATCTAGTTATTATCATTTGAGGTAATTAACTTTATGGCGAGCAAAGAAAAACTATAACATATAAGCAATTCTTAATATAAAAATAAAGGAAAATAAAATACATCTAGTTTTACATCAATTAATTACATAATTTAATAATTTTTGTTTTCAGTTGTTATATACAAGAAGGCTCAGTATTACTATCAGAGAATTACCTTTTAACTTTATATTCATGAATAGTTTTTGGATGTGATAACACATGCTCTCTTTTTTTCTTTTTTCTGTTTGGTAATATTTTGTGCCAAATTGGAGGGAGGGAAGGAGGGAGGTAGGGACAGAGGGAGGGAGAGAGAGAGAAAGAGAGATTTCAGTGTAGTAAAATATTAAAGACAAAGTGGGGATGATATCCTGATTTCCAAGCAGCCCCTTTACTCCTGCTGCTGCTTCTTTAAGAGTCTGACTTTTTCTTACCCTTCTTTGGCTAATCTTTTCTGTATTTGTCTAGTCTCTTCTGATTTTGATCAAAAATAACATGTTCTGAATCTGTGACTTGACATAATATGCAAACTTCAACTGTGAGTCTCAGTGGAACACTCATGCTCTGGCGTTATCATAGCTGTTATGTGTTTGGAAGATTTTGTATATTACAATCTGGATCCTATTTAAAGAGAATGATTGAGTTGCAAGAATGATTAAACTTTATTTATTTCTGAGAAATCAATGCAATATATTTAACATGTCGAATAGAATTGTAACATTCAAAATGAAGGAACCTTTTTAGACATGTAGCAATATCCCATAACAGAAGACTGATTGGTTGAGTAGACAATGGATGCAATGGCTCAGTGATTAAAGTCTCTGAATTGTCAAAATAATAATAATAAAAAAAGAATCAAAAAAAAGTTTCTGAGTTGTCAGTTTACAATCTACCTCAAGATCCAAGTACTGTGTGATCGGATGAATTCCTATTACTAGTCCCAGTTCCTGCCAACCTAGTAGTTTGAAAGAATGCAAATACAAGGAGATAAATAGGCACCTCTTCAGTGGAAACATGGCCATTGAAGTGTCTTCAGACTGCACTGATTCCCTCGGCTAAGAAACAGAGATGAAAACCACCCCTAGAGTCAAACATGATTGGTCAGGTTAAACCTTTACTTTTATCTTTAAAAAATGGTCATTGTTCAGAGGAAAATGATTACTTATAGAAGTAGTACACTTGTATAAGTTCTGAGTTCTGAGTCCAAAATGGGGACCAGGCAGATAAGTTGCAGAGATTTGATGAAAGGCAATTGATGACACAACAGTATGATATTTCAGGGAACTTTCTGCTGATATCGTGGCAAGATTGGACATAAGGAGTGGGACTCCATTGAATTCTCCCCATTAGTGGACTCCGAAAGGAGCTAAAGCCACTGTAGTGGTGGCAAAGAAAAGAGGGGTGCCCTGCAGGTCACAGAGAGTCACAATCTCAAGAAATAGTGTTGATGTTCAAAAGCATTAAGGACACTATGATAATGAATTTTAGGGAGATAAATGCAAAGCATAGATGGGAAAATAGAAAATATTTTACAATAAATAAAGACCAAAATGTCTAGGAAAAGAAGGAGACAACAGAAAGAATGGAGAAATAGACAGAACAGTCAGCAAACAAAGCAAAAAGACAAGAAGGAGAAGACAATAAGGATTATAATGACTGATGAAACAAATCAAGGGTAAAGTATTTTAAGAGATTTAAAAATGGAATGGGAAGATATTTTTGAAAATGAGACAGGGGTTTGGGCAGATATTTTGGAAGGTTGGCAGCATAAGATGATAGAGATGGGCGAAATAGTCAGACTAAACAGTAAAAATGTAGATGTAGATAAAAACAAAGACCCATGAGAGTAGTATGGGAGACATGCCAAAAAACAAATAAGAATTGAAGTACTAAAACAGGTGAGAGATGATGGATAGGAAGAAAATCATGGATCTATAGATGTTGGCCAAAAGAACAAAGAGCAGTGCTAAAATAATTGTAGTGGATCCCTTGGAAGTTTGTAACTTGGGTATGGGAAATTTTCCACTGGCAGGAATTCCTGCCTTCATCACAGTTTTCAGCTTGTCAGTGTCTGCTCCTTGTGGATATCTAGTTGCTCTAATTTTTGCAGCTCAATCACATTTTTTTTCTATCAACCACAGTGACAGTGTGAGAGATTCCCTTGATGTTTTAGTAAATTCTGCCCTGAGCAGACCTAGGTATGATGACTTTACTTTTTATTGATAAAATGCTCTGAGGTTGTTTAGGCTAGAGAGCAGAAAGAATGAAACTCTGTGTAAATGTAATATAGTAAACCACAAACTGGTGCTCAAAAAAACCAGCCATTTATATTACTTTATGGTTTAATGTGTTCACCTAAGAAATTAAGTGTGATTCCACAATGCAATTCTCAAGACCAGAGTGAACAACAATGATTCTTTGTGGAATTATTATGGTCCCCAAGGAATGACACTGAAATATTATAGAAAACAACAGTGACAAAATAGTTCTTCTGTGCACCAGTAAGATTATAGCCAAGATGAATGTCACACTCATTTTCAAAGGGAATCAAGGTAAGCACAATCTTTTTAGTTTTTCTAAATCCTTGACTAGTGTTTCTAAACATTCATAACATTTTGGTTCAATTAGTTCAGTTTAATGTAATTATTAAGATTCTATATAATGAGAAACAGTTCTAAATTTAAATATTAATAAAATATGAGACATTTATTCTCTTACTGGAATAGGGAAAACCTACACTGTTATCATTATTAGATTATATTATTTTATATTTAACTGTTATGATAGGAATGTGAACAACATCTGTCCCTGGAGACATTTGCAAGACCTGTCTGAATGGTAGATTAAGGATCATATATATTATTATTTAAATAGTAGTAATAGTATTTAATGTATTTCATACTTCTTATATTATTTCAAAATTTTCAAAACCATATCAATTAATACATACATACATACATACATACATACATACATACATACATACATACATACATACATACATACATACATACCAGGAAAAAAGAGGTAATAGAGAAACTAACTTTGGAAGCAAAAATAATTCATCTAATGTTCAGAGAAAGTCCACATAAAAAGACAGGTCTTCAACAGGAGTCCTTATGATTTAACAGTACGTCACTTACATGTATCAGAGGACAGCAAGATTTCAGTTGGAGCAATTGCATGTAACTTATACTGTACTCACAATAGATTATCTTTAAATGCTTTCAGCAATAAATTTAATCTTTTGGATATCCTGAGCTCAAGTTGTTTGGATCCATATCTAATTGTAACTATTGTTATAAAAAGTGTAAGGAGCGTTAAGCATATTCTACTTCTCAATGCTGGAATCATAATACAATGATAATTTCTAATGTTCATTTACACAGCATTAAAATCAGGAATCACCAAACTCTTCTGTTCACCAGGCCTTTCCGGCAGTTTCATACTGTTCATCAAATGCCTTAATTTTATCATAGAAAAACAATTTAATATGTACTACTTTCATTAATAGTCTCCAATGATACTTGGGGACCGCTATTGGCCACTTTGGAGAAGCCTGCTTTAAACACTGTCACAAAACAAACAGGTCAGTTCTGGCAATATAAAATATGAAGGAGATGGTCAGAATAGGAAGACTAATAGAATGGAAATGATGATTTTGAAATATTCCTTCCTACTCCAAAAAAAGTCAGTTATATGCATTTTAGAAAACAGAGGGGTCATTTGATTACTTAAAATAATAACTTGTTTTTCTTTCTAACAGGGTAGATTATAATTTGTGTAGCAATAGCACTTAGATTTATATACCACTTCATAGTGCTTTTACAGCCCTCTCTAAGTGGTTTACAGATTGCCCACAGAAATCTGGGTTCTCATTTTACCTACCTCGGAAGGATGGAAGGCTGAATAAACCTTGAGCCAGTGAGATTTGAACTGCTGAACTGCAGCTAAAAGTCAGCTGAAGTAACCTGCAGTATTGAACTCTAACACTGCACTACCTTGGCTCTGTATAATTATTGTTAGACTCATGGGCCCATCAGATATAATTATTTTCATGGGTAGTTATAAGATTGTATGAACCTGGATCCAGACTGATCCATATTACATATTTCATTTTTTTTCTATTAACAAGGAAAAGTGTCAATAGGAGGAATATTATTTTAAACAATCTTTGACAGTAAATCATGAATTCTAGGAAAATTGATTACAATTTGCTAGCTATGGGACCTACCCTGTTGATATTCCAATCTCATAACATAGTTAGGTGAGCAATTAGAAAATTGGATGGAAAGTGTTATGAAATTTATATTCTTCACAAATTGATTAATTATTTAACTACTTTCCACAGGATTCAAACAAACGAAATGAACAACTACTCTACAGTGACAGAGTTTGTTCTGATGGGATTTTCTGATGACCCAGATTTGCAAATGTTGCATTCTGTGATGTTTCTTACTGTTTACATAACAGCCTTAATGGGAAATTGTCTCATTATATCAGCAGTGGCTATTGACCACCACCTTCATAGTCCAATGTACTTCTTTTTGGTCAATCTTTCCCTTTTAGATATTTGTTCCATCTCCACTACAGTTCCAAAATCCATAGCTGTTTCATTGACAAACAACAAAGGGATTTCCTTTGCTGGATGTGTTACTCAGATCTTTTTAATGGTCATGTTTGTTGGTGGTGAGCTTGCTCTGTTAACTATCATGGCTTATGACCGTTATGTAGCCATCTGCCATCCTCTGCAATATAAGCTAATAATGAACTGGAATGCCTGCGTTCAAATGGTAGCAATCTCCTTCACATGCAATCTGATCCATGCAGTAATAGAAACCAGTATGACCTTTCGATTAAATTTTTGTTTGTCCAACACAATTGGCCAATATTTCTGTGATATTCCTCAGTTACAAAAGATTTCTTGCACATGTACAAAAATCAATCAAATGTTGATCTTTGTTCTTGGGTTCATTTTGGACTCATTTATTTTTGCATTCATATTTGCTTCCTATGCCTATATCTTCTTTGCAGTGATGAAAATGCCAACAGTTAAAAGCAGGCATAAAGTGTTTTCGACCTGCACTCCCCACCTAACTGTTTTTTCTTTATTTATCATCACAGCTGTATTTTCCTATATGAGACCCAAATCACTTTCTACTCTTTCTGTAGACTTGATTTCTGCTGTTTTATACACTGCTTTGCCACCCGTTTTGAATCCTATTATTTATAGCTTTAGAAACAAGGACCTACAAAAAGCTCTCATGAAAATAGTGAAAAAAATAAGAATTACATAACATTTTTGGAGTCACTGATCTCTTTCAAAAAATAACTGGTACAACTATGATTCAACAATTGCAATTATAATTTATTTGTATTTAATGTATCTGAATGAAATAACTTGATATTAATTTGAAGGTAGCTTCTTATATTTAGAGATTTAACTGGGTTTTTTTTTTCTTTATTTATGGCTACTGCTTACACTCTCTACTCCTTCTGTGGACATGTTTTCTGCTGTTTTGTACACAACTCTGCCAATAATTTTGAATCCTATTATTTATAGCTTATAGAACAAGGACCTACAAATGGCCCTAATAAAAATGCTGAAAAGAAAAAGCATTTCATAGCAGAACTGCAAACAATAATCTCCTTATAAAATTATAAGCAGAATACATTTACAACTGTGACGTGATGTAACATTTGCAGTTAGGTTTATTTATCTTCATGACTAATGTATTTCATTGAGGGTGACTTCTTTTATTGAGAGATTTAATAGTTTCTTAAGTGTTTCAATTATTTAAGTACTAAACATAAATCCCATCCTTCTACCAGGAACTGATAGGTACCATGCATGGTATTTCTGCCACCTGTTTTTCTCATAATAACAATGGTTTCAAGTAGATTTGGTAAGAGAGAATGATTGATATGAAATCACCCAATGAGCTTCTACAAATGAGAATCAATCTGAATTTGGTTCTCCCTTCTTATCTAAGATCTTACCTATTCACCATAGTTAAGTTAATGCCTTAGGATTAACTAATTTTAACAGAAAAGAAGAAGTTAGGAGAAAGGGGGAAAAGAAGAAAAAGTGGAATTCATGATAGCCCAAGATAAAATTGATAAAAGAGGAAGAAGGAGAAAAAAAGTTGTATTAGTAGATTAAAGGGAATAGTTGTATGTTTAGTATTGTTATGCAACTAATTAAGAAATAAAGAAAGTATAGTATATTGTTAATTGTAGAAAAAATTGAAATAAATGCTCCCTATATCAAATGTGACTAGAGGATATTTATTATTTATAGTAAAATAGACTAATAGAGAAATATGAAATAATAATTTGGTGCAATTTTTGAAGGGGCAATTAAAGATATTGTTTATATTTTAAGAAAAAATGAGTTTAAAATGGAAAATAATGAAAGAAAGTAACTTGGTTGGAAGTGAAAACCAAGCTATGATGTAAAATGGATTATGTAAATGAGGAAAGATCCAGTCAACACTTTGTTTCTATAATATCTGTAAAGTTATATTAAAAAATAAAAAAATTGGAAAATAATTTGATGAACGCATTTGATAAATAAATAAAAGTTTCTCCCGGCCACAGGTGGCACACATAGACATTTGTTAAAGCACGTTAGTTTCCCCTGTTAGTTTTAAAACTGCTAAACTATTATGAAACTCTTTTTAGATTTGTTTTAATGTAACTGTAATGTACAAAGTGACAAAAGAGTGAGGTTTCTTCCAGTTGTCTATATTTTCTTTTAATTTTTCCGTTACTTCACCAACAATTCCATGAAATATTATTGAAATTGATTAGTCTAATTTATTACTCTTTGTTCTCTTTTCATAAAATATTAGGGTTGGAAGGGTTCTCAGTGGTTTTCTAGTTCAACTGCCTGCTCAGTGCACAAATCATCTTTCTTTTCTTTCAAAAATAATTTTTTGAATAATACTTATTTTTAATAATAATTATCTTTGAATAATAATTATTTTAAACAATAAATATATTCCACTTTAAAAATTTAAGATAGTAAAAGGGTTTTTTTTAATCTACTTATAAGGTAATATGTTTCCTTCATCTCAAGTTTTCATTTATACATTTTAGTGGAAGAGGCAATTCTGAAAATATATAGAAGCCAAACTTTTGAGAGCTTATAGGCTAAATTCATACTTGGAAACATACTGCTGGTCTAGAGAATTATTGACTGTAGTTGCCATTATCTCCCAACAGATGAGTGGTTACATTTTGTATAAGTTAAAGTTGCTGAATAGTGTTCCAAAACATGGATAAAGGCATAAAAACTGTTCTCTGTCTCTCTAACTCAAAGTATGATCACAAAAGTTTCACCAGCCAAAGTGAGGGAAGGCCCCCTGGCTGTTGCCACAACTTGAAAATCCAAAATTGTTGAGAGTTCACAACAGCCTCCATTTTATGGTCCTGTATTTTATGGGAATGTCATTCCATTCTCAATTGAAAATGTTTTCTGAATGAATAGAAATTTCTGCTTGTTTTGATTCCACGTTAGCATTTTGTCCTCTTCATCTCAAAACACTGTTTCAGATGTAACCCATGAAGAGTCAAGACATGAATAAATTGGAGTGCTTTTATTAAAAGTTGCACCAGTATGACAAATAAGTCTGCTGTTAATTCTTCATGTTCATCTTTATCTAAGGAGTAGGCCACCTTAAATACTATTACATTGATACTTTCAATTGTATCCCATTGACTTGTCTGTATATCAATATGTTCATTTGAATGAAGTAAAATGGTTCTACTTTGATGCTTTGATTTACATTGCTGAAGCAGAGTAGCTCAATTTTTCCCAGAATTTTGAGATGGAGTGATGCATTTTTCTAAAGCTACTGATAACCTTTCAATGGGATGTGATGATGAATAGGACCCTTTCTGTGCCACTTATTGACATACAGACAAACAATACTTCCGCAACCTTCATCATTTACAAATACATCGCACAACCGATATTTATGCACCCACATAAACTTTCTTGTTTGTTTGTTTCCCACTTTTATTACTTTTGCAAATAACATCTTCCTCCTCCTATTTTCCCTACAACAAAAACCCTGTGAGGTGAGTTGGGCTGAGAGTAACTGGCCCAAGGTCATCCAGCTGGCTTTCAAGGCTAAAGCTGGACTAGCCTGATGCCTTAAAGACAAAACTGGGTTTCATATCATAATTGCCCTGTTCCAATTCATAATGTTGCCATATAATACCATAGATGGAGTCACTGAGGCAGTTGGCATGAGCTTAAATGGACTCTGGAGGATGCTAGAGGACAGTAAGGCCAGGAAGAACATTATCCATGGAGTCGTGATAGGTCGGACATAACTTTACAACTAACAACAGCAATACATAGTATATGAGAACTGCACGGCTCTTTGGTGGGCTTTATTCATAAATGTTTGTGATCATGTAAATAAAACCAAATTGACTTCCAAGTATTCAGAATAAAAATATTTACTCTGTCTTTGTATATAATTTTTTTTGTATTTGTATAAAATGTCTCTATATAAAATATAATATTGTGTCTTTGTATATATTGTGTCTTTGTATATTAGCACAACAAAGAATGTTCTTTCTGTGCCAACTCAGAAAGTTCAAACTGCCCAAAAGAGCTGCTGATTCTGTTCTACAGAGGAATTATCGAGTTTGTCATCTGCACTTGTATAACTGTATGGCTTGGCTCTGCAATGAAACAAGACAGTCACAGAGTTCAACAGATAATTAGAACTGCAGAAAAAAAAATTGTACCAACCTGCCTTCCATTAAGGACCTTTGCATAAGTTAAAAACAGGGCTCTGAAAATATCTACAGACCACTTACATTCTGGACATAAATTGTTTCAACTTCTACCCTCAAAATGATGCTATAAAGCATTGCACACCAGAACAACTAGATACAAAGAATGCCATCACTCTGCTAAACAACTAATGCCCACAATACTGTCAAATTATCTACTAAGACTGTATTACTATTATTTTTCTCTTCCTCTCTAGTACCTATCTCTTTTTTAGTACCTATCTCTTTGCACTTATGACTTTAACAATGTTGCTTGTATCTTTAAAATGTATATTGTTTTATTTGTTTCCTAGTATAATTTGATTGCTTATTAGTAATCTATGACTATCACTAAGTGTTGTATCTTATGATTCTTGATGAATGTATTCTATTTTATTTTTTCTTATATACACTGAGTGAATATGCATCACAGACAAATTCCTTGTGTGTCCAATCACTTGGCCAATAGAGAATTATATTCTATATTTTACTTTTTGTCCAAGTGCTTACAGAACTGGAGTCAAGTGGGACAGTTTCAGATGTAATTTTAGAAATAAAGATGGAGGCATACCAATCTATTTATTTATTCATGTATGCTTATCAAATATACTTTTTTATTTTCAATTTTTCATAACATACAATCACATGTATATTATTACATAGCCAGTATCCTATTGTATTAAGTGACAATTACATCAATTCCTCTTGTCATCAACACCCAAAAAGATAAAAACCCATTATTAGCTCTTCTGCTCTCCATACACCTCTTTCTTCTACTTCTCTCCTACCTCCTTTCGTCCCTCCAGCATCCTTGCCTACTCTACTTCCCCTTCCTTTCTCCTTCTCCTCTCTCTACATTCCACTCCTTCTTATCCTCCTCATCTTCCCCCCTTACCCTCTCCTATCCCTCTCTTCCCATCTTTCTTCTCCCTTCTATTTCCCACTCTTCCTCTCATTTGTGTATTTCCGCTTCTGAGCAAACTCCAATCTATGTTGATAGTATTTATATTTCCATAACAATATATTTAACATATCCTAGTTTTAAAGAAAAAATAAGAGAAAACAGTATACATGTGCAATCATATTACATTAAAATCTAACACCCCTTGTCAAACCTCCCTCCCTCCCCCCCCCCCCCCCCCCCCCCCCCCCCCCCCCCCCCCCCCCCCCCCCCCCCCCCGCCTTCCCTCCCCCGCCTTCCCAGAACCCATACATGGTATAAATCTTTAAAAAAAAACAGTCTAAAATATATTGGAAAAAGAATGTATGTATTTTAAGAGCCATATTCAAGTTGCTAATCTTTTGAAGATTAATCTGATACCAGGAGAGGTCATGACTACAAGAACGTTAAATAAATAAAAATAAATAAAAAGAAGGGATGGAATTGTAATCAGTGTCATGTGAATATGATTAGAATTTTAGCATACAAAGGGAGGAAACCATTTTAGATATTTGGCAATATTCCAAAACAGAAGATTTATTGTGAATGAAGACAACGACAGTT